GGAGAGGTGACCTTGGTTAAAACACATAGTGCCAAGAAGGTGAGCAAACATATTAAGAACAGTATGCCATATATGCCAGGTCCCTTGAAACATATGCTGTGCAGATGTTTCTTCCCTGCAGCGACTGTGTCAAGCAGCAAGGATGGACCGGCTTCCGGCACCTGTCACATGTCACCTCTTCCAGGAAGTCTCCCATGTTGCTTCCAGCAAGAAGGGTCCTCTCTCTCTCCTTTGAGCCTCCATTTCTATGTTGTGACTCTGTGCCAGATGTCAATGAATGTTTATTAAACTGTATAGGTTAACATTCCCATTTTCCAGATGAGGAAACTGAGACCCCAAAAAGAGACAGTAACTTACTCAAGGTCACATCCAACATGCAGACTCCTGCTACGATGTCTCTGCTGCTTGTGTCCATAGTCCTCATGGAAGCACTTCAGGTATGGTCATCCTCTGCTGTCCCCATGCCAGCAGGGAGCCCAGCGGCAGCTTCTTCTGAACTCTGAAAGGAGGAGCAGAGGGAGGAGAGAATGCCTGATGCTTCCCTCGGGACTCGCTCGGCCCGGGGGGACAGCCCCAAACCCCAGCCTCGGGGAATTTGCAGTTAGCAGGTCCCAACCCCCTTCCCCTCCAGGTGTGTTTGGGGCCCTTATAGTGTCTTTCTCAGCTCGGTGGAGGGGAAAGTTGGATAGGCTCCCATACTCCTAGGGCCCATCCTCTCAGTCCTTGCTGCTCCCTCTCCCTCAGAGCCACCCCATCACCCGACGAGGACTCTTCTCTCAAGAAAGGCCCCTGGACATGGCCCCAACCTCCTTCGATGACCAGTATGCTGGCTGTGCAGCAGCCATGACAGCTGCTCTCCCAGATCTCAACCGCACGGAGTTCCAGGCCAACAAAGTGTATGCTGACAGCTGGGTGCTGGCCAGCAGCCAATGGCAGGAGCGCAAAGCTTGGGGGCCAGAGTGGGGCCTCAGCCACACCCTGATGTCCCCACCACCCCCCGGCTTCCGTGATGAGCATGGGGTGGCCCTCCTGGCCTACACGGCCAACACCCCCCTGCACAAGGAGTTCAATGCGGCCCTGCGCGAGGCAGGCCGCACCCGCATCCACTACCTCCAGCACTTCTCCTTCAAGACATTCCATTTCCTGCTGACCGAGGCCCTGCAGCTGCTGAGCAGGGCCCAGCGTTCTCCCCAGTGCCGCCAGGTGTTCCGAGGGGTGCAAGGCCTGCGCTTCCAGCCAGCAGGGCCTGGAGTCACCATCCGGCTGGGGGGCTTTGCCTCGGCGTCCCTGAAGAACGCCACAGCCCAGCATTTCGGCGAGGAAACCTTCTTTGGCATCTGGACCTGCCTTGGTGTCCCTATCAGGGGCTACTCCTTCTTCCCTGAGGAGGAGGAGGTGCTAATCCCCCCCTTTGAGACCTTCCAGGTGATCAACAGCAGCAGACCTGCCCAGGGCCCCACCCGCATCTACCTCCGGGCCCTGGGCAAGCACAGCGTGTACAACTGCGAGTACATCAAAGGTGAGAGGGGCCTGCGGGGGAGCACCTGTGCAGACGGTGAGCTTCCACCCTGTTTTCAGGGAATGCAGGGAAACCGACCAACCGTGAGAGAGGCTCAGACTGTCCTGTACGCCCCTCCTTCCCACCTCCGTCCCTCCATCTAAGGCAGTGGTTCTCAACCTTCCTCATGCCACGACCCCTTAATACAGTTCCTCGTGTTGTGGTGACCCCCAATTTCATTGTTACAAATTGAACATAATCAAAGCATAGTGATTAATCACAAAAACAATATGTAATTATATATGTGTTTTCCGATGGTCTTAGGCGACCCCTGTGAAAGGGTCGTTCGACCCCCAAAGGGATCGCGACCCACAGGTTGAGAACCACTGATCTAAGGGGAGACAGACCCTTCTGAGGCTGGAGGCTTCTCGTCCCTGGTAGTGTCTGAACCAGAGCTGGTCACCTGCCTGCTGGAAGGCTGAGAGGGTTTTCTGACCAAGGCAGGGGCCTTTGGCCATTTGAGGGCCAAACAGACCTGGTCAGGCTTTCTCCCGGCTGGAAGCCAGAAGGGGATTAGTTTCTAGCTACAGTACTGACACACAGGTCATTGCTGCCAGAATTGACAAGAGCCCCAACCTCAGTTTCCAAGAGGAGAGTGTTTATTTGAACAGAAATCCTGTAATCCTGTGCTGTG